AATTTTGCATGTTCTTCACATGTACCCCAAAACCTAAAATGCAATAAAATAAATAAATGGGAAAAAAAAAAAAAGAAAAATATTTTTAAAAGAAAATACATTTTACATCCTGACGGAAGGAAAGATATAGCTCCAAAAATATGACAACAAATAGTCCTAGGAACTAAAGTGACTTTTATTTCAAGATGCTGCTGAATGAGGGAATGCGGTATATTTTGGAGCCAGATTAAAGGCCACAATGAGGGAAAATTTTAACAAAATAATAAGTAGTGCTAATAACTTTTAGAGCAAAAGTGTTCAACAATCCCCACCAAATCAGCTTCATCATTTTATTTCAATTAACACATTTCTTGGAGTATAAATCAAAGAAGTTTCATAACCAGTGTACCTAAACACTCCTCAATGTATTTTAAAATCCAAGTCTTTTTTTTTTTAAAGAAGGGCAGATTCTAGGGTCACACAGCTTTAATTTATACAACACTGACCTACAATAGGTCATTCAGAGAGTCAAATTCTAATCTCAGATCATAGTTACAATGGCTCTTTCATAGCTTATGTTTCCCTAAGCATAGATTTAAAAGAATAATCAACCACCAGAAAAGTATTTAGAAATAAAAAAAGGCCACTGCAAAAAATTAAATTAATTAACTAAGGTAAAACACTGACATTTTTCATCACAAATCCAAACAAGATTTTTAGATTTGCTATTAAACAAAACTTCAGACAAATACATAGATCTTATGGTACTGGCTATCCAAATCAAAAGAAAAAGATAAGTAACATAATCTATTCTTTTAAACTTCGCTCTGTTAGTCTGCCAATATGCCAGTAAGAAGCAACAAACTCACACCTAATGCAAATGTTTTGTGGCACAAGATGGGACAAAAATTTTAAAATGAATTGAACGTAACTTCTAAGAATTTCAAATAACTATATGTTGACTGCTCTTGATGTAAAATATATTAACTTAGTGTTTATATCATAGTGTTCAATCACTTCATTAAAATCATTTGAGTTCCAGTATAAAATTTGTTAGGGGCAATGCAAGAGCTTAAAACTAACCCCCCAGTTTTTTTTAAGATAGGGAATTATCTTGTATCCTCTTAAAGAAGTAAACAAAAATTCACCAAACTTTTAAGTACAAACCTGTCAGTTGCAGAAATTTTCAGACCAATTATAAAACCATACTACATAAATATAATGATACTATCAACACTAGAATGTGTTATATGTGTTAGAATGAAAGCTTTTTGTAACAGTGTAGCAAGTTTTTTAATCCTCAAAAGGTTCATGTGTACTGCTCTGGCTAAACTCCATGTCATTACAGTTGGCTCTTCATACCAATCTGCTTTCAAGGGTGGATATGCTAGAAGAGTTTCAATATCTGGATTTCCAGCAGTTACCTTAAGTTTCCATGTCTTAGCAAAATGGCACATTCACTCATTGGCCAGCAACAATAAATTTACTGTGCTGGAACTCTAACATGACACTAAATCTTCATTCTCAAAATTCACTCCCAGCATTAACAAATGATATAAATAACCAAGTCTTTTCACGTACCTGTAATCATACCAGGCTTCTGATTTTACAATCCTGGTTTAAGCTGTTTACATTTCCAAAGTAATCAACTTTTGCTCTCCTAAATCCCTTGTGATATTCAAAGTAAAACTGATGGAATTTTTTGATAAGTTACTACAAGTTTAGCATCACTGATTACCTTCAATGCACTTGCAAGTGAACCACAGCTAATCTGTAAATTAAGAATTCGTCTACAAATGGGAGCAAGAGAAAAAGTTGTTTTTCTTAAGCGAAGTTGGAAATAAACATAAAATCTTTTTCTTTATTGGTTGGTGGAGTTTCAAAAAGTGAAGTTGTCTATGCAATTTAAATGTAGAAATTACCTGAATCAGTAATACTAACCTCTCCCTCCCCCTAAAATGAAAATTTAATTTCCTAGAAAATAACCACAGACAGCAGCCATAAGACTTTATTTTGTGACATGCGGAGCTATAAGTGAAGAAAAAAGCACCAGAAAATAACGGTAAAAACAAACAAACTCTTCCAAGGTTAGAAGACAAAAAGTCTCTGTTTTATCATCTTTTTCCAACTTCTATGATTAACTAGAGAAATCTTAGACAGGCAGTGTGCAGTGGCTCACACCTGTAAATCCCAAAGCATTGAAAGGCTGAGGAGGGAGAATCACTTCAGGCCAGGAGTTTGAGACCAGCCTGTGCAACATAGCAAGACTCCATCTCAGAAAAAAAAAAATTGAAAGTTAACCATGCGTGGTGATGCATACTTGTAGCCCTAGCTACTCAGGAGACAACAGAATCTCTTGAGCACAGGAGTTCAACACTGTAGCACTTTAACCTGAGTAAGAGCAAGAGCCTGTCTCAAAAAAAAAAAAAAATTAAGATTTTCAGTACCTACCTAATAGTCAAAGGTGAGTAACAAATTACAATTTCTCAAATGAGAGGCCAGTTAATACAAGAATGTTTTGATAACTCTAGAAGGCACCTAATACACTTTCCTAAACAGAAGACTTCTAGAATAAGAAAGAAGTACATCAATTTGAAGGCCTGATTTTTATTTATTTTATTTCAATTATTTTTTGAGATGGAATCTCACTCTGTCACCCAAGCTAGAGTGCAGTGGCACCATCTCAGCTCACTGCAACCTCTACCTCCCGGGTTCAAGTGATTCTCCTGCCTCAGCCTCCCAAGTAGCTGGGATTATAGGCACATGCCACATGTTTGGCTAATTTTTGTATTTTAAGTAGAGACAGGTTTTCGCGATTGGCCAGGCTTAACTCCTGACGTCAGGTGATACACTGCCTTGGCCTCCCAAAATGCTGGGGTTACAGGCATGAGCCACCGTGCCTGGCCAAGGCCTAATTTCTAATCTGGCTTCACACAACTCTGCTTCTCTAACAAAAGCACTAAATCTAGAAGCCTGTCAAATATAAGGTAACATGATACTTTATAGGTAATAGTACCATTTAAACTCATCTACACCTCATGTAAGGAAGAAACCATTGATCTTTATATTCTAATAGCTGAAGGCAGACATAACTGGAAAAAAGCTATTACTAAGGCAAAAAATATTTCACACACCCTTAGGATTCCACAGTTGTTTAGAACAAGTTCAAGGAATATCTATATACCACAAAGTATTAAATCAGGAATAATGGATTTACTCATCAATATTAATTAAGCACCTACAACGTGCCATTTGCTGTGCTGTATAATAATAAATCCAATACATGATAAGATACTGCTAATGCTAAAAACCATAAAACTATACCAAAAACAACAAATTTGTGGTTACTACTTTAGATTTCAAGGACAAGTTAAATCAACCTCCAAATTTTGAGGCCCTGAAACAAGGTTTCTGGTTTCTGTTTTTGAGTGGGAAGGTTTTACTTTTTTCTCTTTTGCCAATGACTGTTGAAAACTTAATGAACAGACCCAAATCTATAGACATGTTTTGAAGAACCAAGGAATCCTACAAAAGACAAAAAAATCAAGTACTTATACTTACCAACACTCTAAAAAAATAAAGATATTCTGCTGCTCCTGAGTAATTCCCACATTCATATTGGAATTTTGCATATCTGTAGAGCGTATCTAAATATTCCTGCCTAAACTAAAAAGAAAAAAAAAGATTAAGTTCTCTTTGTTAGAGTTTTAAAATTCCATTACAATTCATAAGTCTTTGAGGTCAAAACTGTGGATGCTGAATGCACCAATTTCTAATGTGTATTTTACGAATCAAACATATCCCCGATTATGGTATTTATTTTTGATGGCAGCTTTTGGGAGACTATTCTAAAGTGACCCCTGGAGTTATTTAAGGAAGTAAACTAATGGGAGTTGGGGTACAGGAGGTGGTTTTGGGATGAAACTATTCCACCTCAGATCATCAAGGCATCAGTTGGACTCTCAAAAGGAGGGCGCAACCTAGATGAATTGCATGTGCAGCTCACAGTAGGGTTTTTGCTCCTACGAGAATTTAACGTCTCCGCTGATTTGACAGAAGCCAGAACTCAAGTAGTAATGCTTGCTCACTTGCTCATCTGCTCTGTAGCCTTCTGGTACTAGTCCATGACCTGAGGGTTGGGGACCCCTTAAATAATTAATTATATGCAAACATTCATGTTTTGAGTTAACACAAAGGAAATGAGATTGAGAGAAATCTCAATTAGGAAAGCTTATGACATTTCTTTATTTGTGAATTTGGGGATTTATAAAGACCTTGATAATTTCAAAGGCTATTGTGTTCCACAAAGCAGCCAAAGTATTACTTAATTTTTTTTTTTTTTTTTTTGGGGGGCGGACTTTTTCGCTCTTGTTACCCAGGCTGGAGTGCAATGGCGCGATCTCGGCTCACTGCAACCTCCGCCTCCTGGGTTCAGGTAATTCTCCTGCCTCAGCTTCCTGAGTTGCTGGGATTACAGGCATGCGCCACCATGCCCAGCTAATGTTTTGTATTTTTTGTAGAGACGAGGTTTCACCGTGTTGACCAGGATGGTCTCGATCTCTTGACCTCGTGATCCACCCGCCTCGGCCTCCCAGTGCTGGGATTACAGGCTTGAGCCACCGCGCCCAGCCAGTATTACTTAATTTTATTGCTTAAAGCATTTTTAATTCAAATTTAATTCTGTCTGCCTTACTTGTTAATCCATAAGAAAAAGCATCCTGTGCCCTATGATACTTAGCTTGCTGTTGACACGAATATAAAATGTCAACAATTATTGCCAACTATTATAACTTGGAATAAATGAAAGCTGTGAGAATTTCGGTTATCTAAAGGTGAGCTGTTAACATATATTTTCCTATCAGCAACAATTTATAAAAATTGAAGTTTTAAAAACATAATGAGATATTATAATACATTAATCTGGAAATTATATTCGTAGGCCAAGCCATGAGCCTATCTGTACAAACCAGTCTTTAGTCAGCATTATTAAAACATGACAACATTGAAATATTTTTAAAACACTTACACCATGTTTGTCCGCCAGGTAGTCAAAGAGCATCCTACCATCCCTAAATAATAAAAAACAAAAATTACTGTATTTTAAAGGCCATAGAAAACAAAATAAGCATATCCAACTTCTAAGTCATTACCTACACAAAACCACCTTAAATAAATACTTAAATGCTTTAAGTAAGACTTCCAGAATAAAATAAGCAGGACATTATATGTTTTGAATATAAGTATACAAGGGGAACTACAAACTTTAAAAATCAAACTGACAAGATTAATAAATCATGCCTGACTGTCCACGGTGGCTCATGCCTATAATCCTAGCACTTTGGGAGGCCGAGGCGGGTGGATCACCTGAGGTCAGGAGGTCGAGATAAGCCTGGCCAAACATGGTGAAACCCCATCTCTACTAAAAATACAAAAATTAGCCGGACATGGTGGCAGGTGCCTATAATCCCAGCTAAGGGAGGCTGAAGCAGAAGAATCGCTTGAGCCTGGGAGATATAGGTTGCAATGAGCCAAGAAGGCACCACTGCAAACCAGCCTGAGTGACAGAGTGAGACTCTGTCTCAAAAATAAATAAATAAATAAATCACATCTGATACACATGACAGCTTTGCTACATACCCTATATAATCATTACATGTAACTAAGTGTGAAATTTAATATTTCTTAAATTAGCTTTGCATTATCTTAAGATGTCGACAGACTGGTAAAAAAGGCATCAAGGGACAGGTGATATATGGATATAGTTTTCCACCTTATGAGCATTTTCATTGTTATTGTTGTTTTTTGAGATGGAGTGTCACTCTGTCATCCAAGGATGGAGTGCAGTGGCGTGATCTTGACTCACTGCCACCTGCGCCTTCCAGGTTCATGCAATCCTCCTGCCTCAGCCTCCCAAATAGCTGGGATTATAAGCATGCACCACCATGCCTTCCAAAGTGCTGGGATTACAGGTGTGAGTCACTGCACCTGACTGCGTTTTCCAAAATGAAAACATTTTCTTATCCTTCTCACAAGAAGAAATATGCTGTAATGTGTCTTTGGAAGAACAATTTTACTTGATTTCATGGGGCAAAGATATGGCCCCATAAAAATTAATATACGTGTATTATAATAGTGAATATGAAATGTACATGAAATTCCAACATAAAATAATTTCAACAAAAACTGAATGTTTGCAGTGGATCACAGTGAATAACTTTGTATTGCAGTACTTTTACCACTCAGGTATAAGTCATTGTTCTCTGGCTGATTATTTCTGGGAAAAGTACAATACTATATGTTCAATGAAACTTAAAAAGGGGGAGTTGTCAGAAAAAGGTTTCTATGCTGAAAATAGGTAGTTTGTAAGTATAGTAAGATTACAAGTTTTTAACACATGATCTTTTCATCTATCTCAAATTCAGTGCCTCCTAAGCTACAAGATTCTCTTTTTCTACTAACTGGTGAACACATCTACATTCATCTTATTCATACTCTGATCCCATTACTTCCCAGTCTTTGAGTGACTAAACTACAGCATCCTAAATTCTCTGTTGTAGTCTAACATCTGGATTATTTCAGCTGTCCCTTGGTAATCACCTACATGTGACTTGAAGATGTAGAATTATTTAAAGGCATACAAGTAGTTTAGCATAATATATAGCTCTGCCTATGCATATAATGTGTGTATATATATCTCTGTGTGTGCGTGTGTGTGCGCATGTGTATATAGTCATCCCTTAGTATCCCCAGAGCATTAATTCCAAGACCTCGCCCACCCCCCACCCACCGGTATCCTCAAATACCAAAATCTGCAGGTGCTCAAGTCCCTTATGTAAAATAGCATAGTATTTATATGTAAACTATACACATCCTCCCATATACTTTAAATCATCGCTAGATTACTTATACCTAATGCAATGTAAGTATCATATTGTTGTTACTGGTTACACTATCGTTTTATTTGTATTATTCTTTATTGTTGTATTGTTATTTTGTAGGTGCTTTCCCTGAATATTTTTAATCTGCAATTGGTTGAATCCACAGATGCAGAACAGACAGCTGACTGCATTTGTATCTGCATATATATGTAGTATATGTCATAGTATAGTATAGTATGCCATCATATGGCACAGTAATTGTGTATTTGCTGATTTTCCAAAAATATCTGGTAACACCTTCTCAAATCACAAAGGAAAACTTAAGAGTCAATCTCTAAAAATTTGGTTTGAACACATAGAAATTAAGGATAAAATACGGCAAAATATTCAGCAATTCATCAAGCAGTTTACTGGTGGCTAGAATTTATCTCAAACGACATTATTCAATTTTAGTAGGAGATTTTATTTGTAAATGTTTCTAATAACCCAAAGGGTTTCCACCAGTAACATGTACTAAGTTAAGAATAAGTAGGCACATGCTTTCTTTGTAAATGAAACAGTAAGTCTGTTTCTAGCTAAAGGGAAGTTAGGAATAAAATAATCTTATCAGCTCAAAACTACACTCCTTGAGCCGGGAATGGAGCTTGGAAGGATACGAGAGAATGTAGCTGGTGATAAAGTGAGCTCACGTTTCTCCTATAAGGAGATACACATGTGCTCTAGGGCTTTAGGTATTGCTCAGGCACAGGATTTCTTTCTTTTTCCCCTCGAAATAATGTTTCATTACATCGCCTACTTTGGAATGCAGTGGTATGCTATCAACTAACTGCAACCTCCACCTCCTGGGCTCAAGTCATCCTCCCACCTCAGCCTCCCAAGAAATAAGTAGCTGAGACTATAAGCGCATCCCAATGCCTGGCTAATATTTTGTAGGTTTTATTATTTTGGTAGATACAGGGTTTCGCCACGTTGCCTAGGCTCGTCTCCAACTCCTAGGCTCAAGAGAACTACTTGCCTCCACCTCCCCAAGTGCTGAGATTATAGGCGTGAGCCATGATGCAGCGGCACAGGGTTTCTCAAGGGACATTTTGAGTTGGGTAATTCTTTGTTGGGGAGTAGCAGGAGGGGTGTTGTCCTATGCACTGTAGGATGTTTAACAGCATAACTGGCCTCTACTTACTGGGTGCCAAAAGCACCCCTCCAGTTATGGCAACCAAAAGTATCTCCAAACACTGCCAAATGTCCCCGGGAAGGGGAAAATAGGAGACGAAATTTCTGTAGCATAATCAGTATAGACAAGTGGTAAATAAGTTTTAAAAAAAGAAATTAGTCTTAATATTAATACGGGCCCCTACGAAATAAGGATAAGTAAAAATTTTAAAATGAATAAAGCACTCATTTAAACCATAAACTTTTACTATGGGATACTGGATAAAGTCTGAATTAACATTTGTATTAATCCAGAAAGGAGAATTTTTAGAATTCAAAATTAAGAAGAGTTTACCTGGTTGACTGCATTTGCCTTGTAGTTTCTGGATCTTCAAACATCTTCACAATTGGTTCTGTTTCTGCCTGAAGCTGTTTCAGTTGTGCAACAACTGTGGTTCTTTTCTCTCTCAATGCTAATTAAAAATGCAGAACAATACTACAATGATAAGCAATGTTAAGCTGTGTTTCATTACATCCGCCTACTTTGGAATGAGGTGGTATGGTATTGACTCACTGCAATCTCTGCCTCCCGGGCTCAAGCCATCAAGTAGCTGAGACTACAAGTGCACACCACCACGTCCAGCTACATTTTCTCATTCATGAGAATGTCTGGAAATTTTTCGATGCATTTAAACTATATATACATTTATTTACTCCCAATATATTCATATGGGGCTACTAACTCAGTAATGTCCCCAGATCCCTAATTTCTTCCTTCTAGTAATACAAAGGCACAAAAAGGAAAACGTAATCCTTTTCTGAATCCTTTTCTTACTCTTAAGGAAAACTGGAGAATATAATAATAATCTTTTAACTATAAATCCAGCTCTAAAATCTCTCCAACGAAATTCTATCATTCCTTTTTACTGTATTATGAAAAGGTAGAGAAAACTTGCACATAGCCAGCCCTAATAACATCTTAATGTTTTATTAAGAAACTAAGAAATAAGTTTCCGGCAGGGCACAGTGGTTCACACCTGTAATCCCAGCACTTTGTGGGGCTGACACCAACAGATATTAGGTCAGGAGTTTCAGACCAGCCTGGCCAATATGTTGAAAACTCGTCTCCACTAAAAATACAAAAATTAGCCAGGCATGGTGGTGCATGCCCATAATCCCAACTACTCAGCAGGCTGAGGCAAGAAAATCACTTGAACTCGGGAGGCAGAAGTTGCAGTGAGCAGAAATCGTGCTGTTGCACTCCAACCAGGGTGACAGTGCAAGACTCTGTCTCAAAAAAAAAAAAAAAGTTTCCTTTTTGTTTACTTCTCCACGACAAACTAAAATTAAAGAGCCACTGTTATTGCAGGGAACTCTAAGTCAAACAGGTGGATTATGTTTAATGTAATAATTTCTGCATTATATATTAAAAATATATTCTATAATAGTCTTTCTCAAACACAGGAGAAGATCTATGATCAAATTTTGAGAAATGTCAATTTAAACAGGGTATACCGTATTTCTCTACTGCCAGAGTTCCTGGAAGCTTTAAAACTGTAATATGCGTAGAAGAAATGACAAACTTATGGGACCACTTTTTTTTTGTTTTTTTAAGGAACATCTATTACCACAGAAAGCAAGGATTTGGAAAACACTGTACCACAGTAATTCTTCAACTTGAGTACTAGGCCTCACTTAACAGTTTTGATTAACTAGGTTCTGGTGTGTGGCCCAAAACCTGCATTTCTAACAAGCTCTCCCAGGTGAACTGTTGATGCTGGTCCTGGGGACCAATATTTGGAGAACAATGTCTACACTAGATACCTCAAATGAAAAAAAAGATCTCTAAGGGACACAATGCACTCACTGAAAATGTTAGCAACCAAAGAACTGAAATATTCTCAGATAACTGTAAGGAATGTGAGTCATAAGCACAATTCTGATGATATATACTATGACTGAAGGCATCTGATGACCATATTTTAAAGTAGTTCTACATCTTTCACAAGGAGAAAACAATATACTTTAGAAGACACGAAACCTTTATATAACCTCTCTCAAAGAACATTAACATTCAAATAATAATTAAACCTTTTGGCTAAAGCTCTTTCATAAATCATAAAACTTTAATACACACATCCTCAAGTCACAAGACAAGCTTCAGTTCTAATGACAAAACTTACCATGAGGAATATCATCAGAATAAAGGTTTTTGTAAACATCCATAGCAAAGTCTACCATGTTGGTATCACTAAGAAGGTCCAATTTACCTTGTAATAATTCCTTTTCATTATATATCTGCAAAAGAAGATAACTTTCTAATGAATATATTTAAGTTTCCCAAATAAACTGATTAATACTAAGATTAATTTACCTGGAAATATATTTCAAGAAATACTTTATAAAATACTATAAAATATTAATTACCCCCTCTGGCAGTAATAATGGCAAGCAATATAGCAAGTAACCAACCTGCAGGTGTAAAAATATTTTACTTACCTGAAAATTTTAAAATGAAGAGAATTACTATAGTCAGTCACCCCTACTTCTGATTTATACGTTCTTATTTTTTACGTGTCCCTACAAATCATCTCTTACCCTTTCTAGGCACGGTTATGTATAAATAAACAAAACCAACACCATCTCTTCTGTAAAGCACATATAGCTGTCACCTCTCCATAACCAGGTAATCAGGAATAAACTTATATGCTTCTCCATCCACATTGCTGAAACAAAACTGCACTCATTTTTTAAGGCAACTATGTTACATCAGGTTTTTGCTTTGCAAAGAGTCCAGGAAACAGAATTTAACCTACAGTACAGGGAGCAAATAGATAAATACAGAAACTCACATAAACCTAAAGTGTACTGACTAACATGTAAGGATTCTACACAATATTCAGGGACAGAAATGCTTCAGCAAAAGAAAAGATTTCTGTACTGAATTTAATTTTGCAAGGAAAGAAAAATCCAGGAAAATGCCACAATACTTCACTGCCTGCAAGAAGTAAAGATGAAAGTGGTCAAATAGTATTTAGCCATGAGAGCAAAACCGAACCTTCCAAATTACATGCAGAGCTCCTACAAATTGAGTAAGACATGACAGATCATCCAATTGAAATGACTAAAAGGCACTTCACAAAAGAAGACAACCAAATGGGCAATAAACACATGAAAAGATTCTCAACTTCATTAAGCACAAAGGAAGTGAAGATTAAAAATTGCAACAAAAATTTTTAAAATCCTGACAATACCAGTGTTGGTATAGATGTAGACTACCTGGAACATATGCTCTTCTGGCAGGAATACAACACAATCACTTTGTAAGATTTTTATCTCCCAAAGCAAAACATACTTTTTGATCCAGCAATTCTGTTCCAAAGCACCCAAAAGAAATGGGTGCATATATTCAAAGTGCACTTCCAAAAATGTATACAGGAGCACTATTTGTAATAGCCACGTCTATCAATGTTAAAATGAGAAAACTACAGCATACTAACAATAGTTTAACATTTGGCTATTTTCACCAAAAAAATCAATGAACTACTACTGCTATCCTAAAAACATGACTCACAGACAATGCTGAGTGAAGGAAGTCATACAAAGCAGTACATGGTGGTAAATGCTTAATTCCATCTACATAAAAATCAAAAACACACAAAATGAATCATCAGACTAGAGCTTACCTTTAAGGGATGTGAGTAGTGACTAACAAGTCAGAAGGAAAGTTTAAGGATGTCTGCAATGTTTTATTTATTAATCTGAGTGGTGGTCACAAAAATGTATTCACTATTCATTTTGGAAAAATATATATATATCATTGACCAGTACATTTATATTTGTGTACTTGTATGAATGAATGTTGTATCTGATAAAAAATTTACCTGAAAAATCTTAACTTCTCATCAGTTAGCCCTATGGAAACCTTAATGAAAAATAAAAACATTATTTTCCTAGCATGCTACCTCTCCTCACCACTCCAGTAATTTACCACATCTCTCTCCACAGTAGATACAATAGCCTTGCTCCTCTGCCATCAGATGTTACTGGCCTGTTCGGAAATCTACACCTGCCTCTCAATTCTGCCTTATAGGCAGAACGCAAACACTTTAGACTGTGTATCAAGAAGCAACAATTGAAAATACTACATAAGTACTCACATGAAAAAGGAAAATCAAATTTCCACAATTTTTTAAAATTTTGAAACAAAAATAGTAACAGTAAAAATTTTTGTAATACAGGTCTACTAATAAGAATAGAATGCTTTTTCAGGAAAAAACATTTCACTTAATTTGGGTATAAAGTCAATATTCTATAACTAATGTTTGCAAATATTCCTCTGTTAAAAACTATTCTTATCCCCAAAACCACAAAAAAAAAGGCTGCTATCTGATTCCCAGGCTATAGTTTGCTGATCCCTGGTCTATCAACCTCTTGAAAACATACTACGTTTTAACAGATTAATAATCTGGTTTTTTTTTTTGCCATCTCTTCCTCTGCTGTCATTCTACACAAACATAATGCCACATTGATGACTCTTTAAAAGCTCGAGCCCTAAAATTCCTTTATTCCACAAATTATAACAACTTTCAAGTATCTCATCTGCAAGAATACCAACTTAAACTGACAACCCTTCCAGCATTACCATTAAAATCTTCATCATCCTCGGACTTTCTGCTCTTTCCAATTTCTGTATAACACCCTTTTGATGTCACTTTCTACCTTAATTTGGATATTATTTTTAGCTATTTCAAAGATTTTCCCTTTAGCTCTATCATTGATTCTCTCAAACTATTTTCTCCAACTATATAAAATTTAGTTAATAACTAACTATAAAAAAGAAAGTCATCTACTCTCTAGGTTCTGGCTAAGGAAGACTAGAAAATGTTTCAAAATTAGGCAATAATGTTATTTGATCACATCTGTGCTTCTCTAAATGACATTTCTGTATAAGCCTACCCCTAAATATTTCTGTACTACTCCCATAGCCTTCTACCACTCCCCGCCCTGAGAATGACCATCATTATTAGCTCTATAAGGTATGATTCCAATCTCAGTTGGACCCTCCACACTTATCAAATCCTTGTATTTTTCTTTGATCAGTTTCTTAGTGACCATTTTCAGTCTTTACCTTACTCATCAAAACCCTCACTGTCTCCCTCGCTCATCTCATACCAATATAAAACGGCCTAATCTTCCAAAAATAAAAACCATTTAGGGCCAGGGTGGTACCTCACACCTGTAATCCTAGCACTTTTATAGGCCAAGTGAGCAGATTACTTGAGTTGAGGATTTCAAGACAAGCCTGGGCAACATGGCAAAACCCCATCTCTACAAAAAAATACAAAAAAAAGTAAGCCAGGAGTGGTGGCACACACCTGCAGTCCAAGCTACTTGGAGGGCTGAAGTGGGAGAATCACTTGAGCCCAGGAAGTCAGGGCTGCAGTAAGCTAAGATTGTTGCCACTGCACTCCAGTCTGGGTGACAAAGTAAGACCCTGTCTCAAAAAAGAAAACATTTAGGAGTACTCACTCTATCCCAGAAGAGCAAAGTGCTTTACACGAATTATCTCAGATAATTTTTCTAACCCCATGAAATGGTGGTAGTATTAGCATCTTATTCATGAGAAAAGGTTAAGAAGGTAAAAGATTCTGCTCTGACAGCACAGAGGTATTAAATGACAGAGCCACGATTCTAATCCAGGGTCCAATTCAGAGCCCAAGGGTCCTAGATATTTCACTATCTGGTCTTCTGCCTCACATGAAAGTAAAGGACAGTGAGACATAAACATGTATTCATGCAATCCTTGATTAAAAAGTATAAAAAGCCTTTATGCCAGACTCCATTTTATGGGCTGAGAGCACAACGAAGCTTCCACTATCATGAGGCTTATATTCTCCAACGTACTACAAATAGATGAAATTGTTTTTCTCTTGGTGCAAAATAGCCCTTCCTTATCAATGAGCTACGTGTTCCAAGACACTCCAGGGGATGCCTGAAACAGCAGATAGCCCCAATCCTATATTTACTTTTTTTTTTTTAAATACATACAATTAAAACTTTTACACGCACAATTTAAAACTTACAAACTGCTTATTTCTGGAATTCTCCATATAATATTTTTGAACCGTAATTAACTGAAACTGCAGAAATTGAAACTGCTAAGGGGATGTGGAAGGGCTGCTGTATCCTCACATAGTAGGATCACTGATTCTATCCTAACCATCTAGCCTTCAAGACTCAAAACCTCACCTCCTCAAAGTCCTTTTTGCTCACTGAAGACAACAGAATTTCCATTTTGATAGCGCTCTACTAGTACCTCTCCGACATTTATTACTTTTGCCTTATATCAAAAACATTCAGCCAGGCCAAGGCAGGTGGATCAGGAGGTCAGGAGTTCGAGACCCAGCCTGACCAACATGGTGAAAATCCACCTCTACTAAAAATACAAAAATTAGCAAGGCATAGTGGTGGGCACCTGTAATCCCAGCTACTCGGGAGGCTGAGGCAGGAGAATCGCTGCAGTGAGCCAAGATCATGCCATTGCACTCCGGCCTGGCAACAGAGTGAGACTCCATCTCAAAAACAAAACAAAAATTCAACTCTAAAGGATAGGTAAGCTTTTTCAGTGGTGAGATGTCTGGGTTTTATCTTGGCTTTCTCATAATTATCTGGCCCTATACAAGTAACCCCTGAATAACAAGGGTTTGAACCACACAGGTCCATTTATATAATTTTTTTGCAATAAAAGTTACACAAAGTATGCCTGTCTTTCCTGACTTCCCTTCCACTTCCTCTACTTCTTTCACCTCTGCTACCCCTGAAACAGCAAGACCAACTCCTCCTTTTCCTCCTCCTCAGCCTACTCAATATGAAGCCAATTAAGACCCCTATGATGATGTACTTCCACTTATTAAACAGTAAATGTATTTTCTCTTCCTTATGATTTAAGAACATTTTATCTAGCTTACTTTATTGTAAGAATACAGTATATAGTACATACAAAACAGGACTGTTTATGTTCTCAGTAAGCCTTCCAGTCAACATTAGTGCAGCAGTAAAGTTTTGGGGGAGTCAAAAGTTATACACGCATTTTTGACTGCAGGAGGTCAGCGTTCTTATTCCCTGTATTGTCCAAGAGTCAAATGGACTTATTAATTGGTAAGTAAATACTCCAGCACCTGTCTTCCTCCTGGTGTATGACAGCTGTCTTACAAGTAGGCAGGTATTGGGCAGTTTTTCCCACTGATTCTCAACTGCCTGCAGTTAATAGTATTCGTCTAGCCCTATGAAAATCTAATTTACATTTACATATTCCTCCTTTTCTTCTGTCTGCCATAAAAAAATGAAAGTATAAAGAACACAACAATATATAACGTTCAGCTACTTCAGAAGTACTTCTACAAGTAGCTGGTAAAGACTTTTGAAATGTGGCACTTTTACTAGATCTTTTGTCCTCACTTTTCCAGAAAGAAAACAATGCAGACGGGAATGTTTTACTCCAGGTCTAAAATACAAAAAGAAGAATCAAAGCAAAAACATATCTTTTCAAGATTAAGTTTTACATGACAAGACATTCTTGGACATTTACTGAAAATGATCTTAGCAGTTTCCTATCATCAATAATTTTAGAGTTGTCTATGTTTGGAAAAGGTTTATATGAATGTGAGGATTATACCTGTCTAATGAGCCACAACCACCTGGAAGCTGGTTTTGTAGGACGTTGTTGTATTGCTTTTTGTTTTTTGCTACACAAAATCCACTCCCCAAATCAGGAGTGCCCTAAGTAGACTTACATTGTGATCTGCTTCCAGAAAAAGAATTCACTTATTTTTCTGGTCGAAATCCGAATTCCTTCATTACAGGAAAGTACTTTACTATAATTATTAAAATCCATCAAATTCCCAATAAACTAAAGATATAACTAAGCTCAATTTTCTTTTAGTCCCAACTTTCAAGTCCAATAAAACTTTTAGGACTGAGTGGGATAAGCTTTAAAATGAAGTTCCAGAACTTCACATTTATTCACGATAGCTTGAGTAGGTCATTGAACATTAACGACCATTCAAATCACTTTAAGTCAGTACAACACACACACTGGAAAACACATTTAAAGATTATGGGGGTTTTTTGGGAGGTGGTGCGGGGAAGCGCCGTACCCATCTGACAAAATGTGCTGTTCTAGAAAGTCTTACTTATCAAAAGACAAGGAAAACTCAATGCAAAGAACTCAAAAAGTCATGGAAATTAAAGCTCTACTTATTTTAAATGTAAAAGAATCACTCCAAACGACTAGACATGCACAGAACCACAGCCAAGCCACGGCTTCCCACAGTTCCCTAAAGAAAAATCAAAAGCTCTAACAGCACTCCAGGTTGCTTTTAGAACCCGGCCTGTGCAGATCTAAGGTTCTCTGGCGAAACCAGCGAATCGCCAACTTCCGAGAGGAACTGATGCGAACGTCCCTCCGGCACTGACACCTCAGTAAGTGAAACAAGAGACGTCTTTTCTCTCTCCGTAACCTCCCTCCTCCTCACTGCCGAATACTGAGGTGCTTCTTAACTGGGACGACGCTAAACTACCAGAAGGTCATTACTGTCAGTCCAGGAACCAAACTCGCCACTACTCGCACGTGTTGGGCCTAGGGCTACAGCCATCGCCTTTCGGCCTCGCTCAGTACTTCACCGGTTCCCACGCCTTCCTCGCGCTCAAAGACCTCCTCACCTCCTTTACAGAGAGAAACTCCAGAAGCGGAAAGACTAGATGCCGATCCAGAAAGTGCGCGATGCGAGTAGTTAAGTCGTACTCCGCCATCTTGTCAAAGAAAAGGGAGTCTGTGCTCACCAAAACTTTATTGATAGCGCCGACAAACGAACAGACAGATCCCGTACTGCGCATGTGCAGTGGTAAAGCTGGCCTACGGAAAGGGGCGGGTTCAGCCTGGCGAGCAGAGAACGACAACGCATGCGCGCGGGTTGTTCCTCGGTCTGCGTTAGGGCGCGAGTGACTGACAGCAGATCCGTCTATGTGTACGTTTGTCGGTAACCTCTTTATATTGCTGTCCTTCAATCACCAGTTAGTGGCTTCCACATTATTCCGTTAATAACTATTGAAAGCTCAGAATTGATTGCTCAGCATTGGGATGCGGCAAAGGACAAGATGAGGAGGTCCCTGCTCTCCAGGAAGTTGCATTCTGGGAGGAGTAGCTGGGCTTTTTCATTTGGCATATTCTAATCATTATGTAAGCTTATTGTTAAAGTGACAGTGGGTTTCTAGACAGAAAATAAGTGAAAAAAATTTCAGATATAGTAAGAACCATAATTTGGTGGAGAGTTGGGTTGGACCTAATTAGGATGGTTAGAGAAAACTCAGATGGGAATTAAGGAAATTAGGGAGAAGTCTGATAGAGTAACAAGTTAGCTGAGAGTTGTAGTAAAAGAACTCTTACTTCTAGTTTGAGTGATTAAAACTAGAGCCAGAGGGCCGGGCGTGGTGGCTCACGCCTGTAATCCCAGCACTTTGGGAGGCCGAGGCGGGCGGATCACGAGGTCAAGAGATCGAGACCATCCTGGTCAACATGGTGAAACCCCCGTCTCTACTAAAAATACAAAAAATTAGCTGGGCATGGTGGCACGTGCCTGTAATCCCAGCTACTCAGGAGGCTGAGGCAGGAGAATTGCCTGAACCCAGGAGGCGGAGGTTGCGGTGAGCCGAGATCGCGCCATTGCACTCCAGCCTGGGTAACAAGAGCAAAACTCCGTCTCAAAAAAAAAAAAAAAAAAAAAAAAAACTAGAGCCAGGGTAAAAATACACTTGTTGGAAGGTAGAGCAAAGACAATGACCATGTGACAGGAAGGAACTTAGTGTGTGCATTTCAAAAAATGAGTGTCCTGTGTACTGGGAGTAAGGTTAAAGAGTTTTACAAGGGCCAGGTCATGATTATAGTAAGGAATGTGGGGTTTTTTTTCTAAGTCCTCTGCAGTGTCCTTTGCTAGTTACTTCTCGTCTTTTAGGCCTTTTCATTTCGAAGAGCCCAGAGATCTTGGACATATCCATCTAGACCAATGTCCTAACTGATAACATCTAGTCTAATGGCTTTACATGCAGTCAGCACATTGACAACTCCCAAATTATTGCCGCAACACTGACTATTAGCCTCAGACTCAAATGTACCCAGCATTTCAACATAAGTTTGTCCCAAACCAAGCTTCCCCATCCTGCTCCCCCAAACCTGCTCTAGCTGTACTCTTCACCTCAGTGAATGGGTCACTCCATCGTACAGTTGCCCAGACTCAAAACCTTAGACTCATTCTTGACTTTTTCTCTTACACTCTACATCAAATCTACCAACAAACCCTCCAATTCTAACTTTTAAGGCATATTCAGACTCAATCAGTTCACACCACCTCCAAAGTTACAACTGTACTGCAAACCACCATCTCTTGCTTTAGTTTTTGGAATCACCTCTTCACTAATCAGCTTGCTTCCCCTCTTCCTCCTGTGCTTTATTCTTGATACAGCAGCCAGAGTGAATTTTTTAAAGTCAAATTATGCTCAAAGCTCTCCAAAGCTTGCTATCATTTAGAGTAAATGATGTAGTAGGTATTATAAATGGCCTAAAAAGCCGGAAGATCATCTGGACCCATTAACTCTCTGAACTCATCTCCTAAATGTTCCCCTCTTGCTCACCTGACCCCAGCCACACAGATTTTCCTTCAGTTCCTCAGATACTCCCACCCTGCTTTCACCTTGTCCTGTTATATTTGGTATTCCCTCTAACTGCAATGTTCTTCACCCAGTTATCTGTGTAGCTCTTTCCCTGTCCCCTTCGTATTTTACTTAAATGTCATCTGCTCAGTGAGACCTTCCCTGACCAGTCTATTTAAAAATTTAACTCACCTGCCGACAAGAACTTCTCATCTTGCTTTCCTGCTTTATTTTAGTATTTTGTTTTACTGAATTTTACTTGTTTTATTTTTGGCTTTCCCTGACTATTGTATTAATGTCACAACATCAGGGATTTTGTCATTTTTTTAAATATAATAACTGCTTCTTCAAAGTCTAAACAACGACCAGCATATAGTTGGCACTCAACAAATATTTTTGAATGAGCATATGGGTGAAAGAAGGAAGTAGGCCTTTGGAGAGTGATGTAAAGATTTTTAGTTGAAACATAGCCTATTATATGGTAAATTAATTGTGAAGGGGCAGGAGTGAAGGCAGCAGGATCAGTTTGATGCTCTCAGACTGGGCAAGGGCTAATGATGGTATAGACAAATATATTCATATAGAGAGAAGAGATAAGAACCAAGATGGACTTTGGTGGTAGAACTGACAAGACTTGCTCTTAGATTGGATATGATGAATAAGGAAGAATAAAAATCAAAATAATTTCTAGAAATGCTACCCAGCAATAAAAAGGATGAGACTAGCTATACACTCAACAACCTGAATGAATTTTCAGGGAATTATGCTGAGTGAAAAAAAGTTCCCAAATGTTCCATAGCTAATGGTTTTATTTATATAATATTCTTGAAATGACAAAATTATGGAAATGGAAACTAGATTAGTGATTGCCAAGGGTTAAGGAGGATGTGAGGTGGGAAGGAAGTGAGGCTGGGAGGCAACAGCAGGGATATTTTTGTTAATGGAATGCTCATTCCATTATTCAGCAAGGCTGAATGCCCATGAAGCAGAGAATACATGCTAGTATAAACTGCTAAATTGTGGGGCATAGTCTGTGTGGCCTCTAAGAGTTGAGAAATAACAGTTGTAATTTGAAGTTTCCTGGAATCCCAAGAAGTTGTATTAAAACATAAACAGGAAAGAAGGCAGATGTGAGGTAGGGCATAGGAAGGAAGGAAGCAGGTAGCAGTATGAAAACTTGCCAAAAAGGAACAGAGAGCATCTTTGAGAAGCAGAGAGAAAAAAGATGCAGTTCTGTTTGACAAACATTCTGAACTTTTACCACATGCAAGGTACTAAGGTAGGTGTTACTGGGAATATATAATCAATAAGAGTTAGTCTATGGCCACAGGAGCTTTTAGTCTTGTATATGGCAATTATTACTTTATTCCGTGTAAACTAAAGCATACAACATGCTAGGCACTATTCTAGGTCCAGGGAATACAGAAGGAAAGAAAACATTCTCTAAAGAAACTTACATTCCAGTGGAAGAATATAGATAAAAACATAGAAACAAATATATACTTTGTTAAGTGGTAATAAGTGATATGAAGAAAAATAACTCAAGGTAAAGACTAGAGGATGATGGGGGAAAGCTTGCAAGTTTATTTAAAGTAGTTAGAGAAGGCCTCAATTATAAGCTGGAATTTTTTGTTGTGTTGTGTTGTGTTGTGTTTGTTTTGGGAGACAGGGTCTCTCTTTGCCACTCATGCTGGAGTGCAGCAGCATGGTATCAGCTTGATCTGCAGCCTCGACCTCCAGGACTCAAGTGATCCTCCCACCTCAGCCTCCTGAGTAGATGGGACTACAAGCATGTACCACCATGTCTGGCTAATTTTTTTAAAAAAAGTTTTGTAGAGACAGGTCCTCATTGTGTTGACCAGGCTGATCTCAAATTCCTGGCCTCAAATGATCCTCCTGCCTTGGCCTTTCAGACTACTGGGATTACAGGCATGAGCCACTAAACCCAGACATATAAGATAGAATTTAAAAGGGAACCTGATGGAAGGGAGAGAGCCTGTGACTATCTGAAGGAGGAACGTTCCTGGTGAAGGAATATTAAGTATAAAGATACGGAAGCAGAAGTGTGCTTGGAGTCCTGTAAGAATTAGCAAGGAGGCTAGAAATGCTAGAGCTAAGAGTAGATGTGGTAGCAAATGGACTCAGAAGCAATGGTGGGTCAGATTTCACAGTGCTTTGTAGGCCATGGTAACAACTTTGGTTATGTTCTAAATGAGATGGGAAGCTACTAAGAGGGTTTTGAGCAGAGGAGTTTACATAATCAGCGTTCTGCTTTAAAAAGACCACATTGAGGCTTAGGGGTGGAGGGACAGAGAGATCAGTAAAGATACTATTGAAATAATTTTTAAAAAAAAAAGAGAGATGATTGTGGCTTGGACCAAAGTGGTAGCAGTGAAAGAGTTGTGGACATAGTGCAATTCTGGACATATTTTCAATGTAAAATTTGCTAATGGATTAGATGAGAAAAAGAGGAGTCAGAGATGATTATAAGCTCTAGAAGAACGGAGGGCCATTTACTAATATGAGGAAGGATATGTAGATGCAAGTTTTAGGGAAGAGGGAAATTAATAATTTAGTTTTGGACATATTATGTTTGAGATGCCCTTTTGACATCCAAGTGGAGATACTGATTAGGCACTGGAATATATGAATCTGAAATCAGAGGAAAGGAGATAGAGCTAAAGATAGAAAATTAGTTCTTTTTTTTTTTTTTTGAGACGGAGTTTCGCTCTTGTTACCCAGGCTGGAGTGCAATGGCGCGATCTCGGCTCACCGCAACCTCCGCCTCCTGGGTTCAGGCAATTCTCCTGCCTCAGCCTCCGGGGTAGCTGGGATTACAGGCACGCACCACCATGCCCAGCTAATTTTTTGTATTTTTAGTAGAGACGGGGTTTCACCGTGTTGACCAGGATGGTCTCGATCTCTTGACCTCGTGATCCACCCGCCTCGGCCTCCCAAAGTGCTGGGATTACAGGCTTGAGCCACCGCGCCCGGCGAAAATTAGTTCTTTTTAACCTATTGTTGAAATTGAAAACCACAGAACTGGATGAAATCTGAGTATGAGTATGTTTAGAAAAGAGATGAGGAGGGTTAAATCTTAGATACTTCAACTTGCATAGGTTGGGACAATTCATATCAAATAAAAAAGCTAAAGAAGGACTGGCCAGTTCATGGAAGAGAGAAGAGGAGGAGGAGAGAAAGT